GCGGCGCGATAGTCTTTGAAATATCAGACGTATTATATCAGTCGACCCCAGAGTTGTAGTCGCCCTTAGCATCACGTGGAGGCGCATCTGAATGGGAGCCTAGCTCTTAGGCCAATCCGGGCAAGACTCGTGGCACCTGACGTCTCACAAGCAAGCAACACCAGCCTGATTCTTTAGAACCCTAGGAGGTCCCTATCTCAGATCTAGGGACTACAGACGATCGTTGGACGAAGAGTCTAGGCGATGCGATTACTCGTCGCCACGTCCCCTATTTCACATTCGAGCGAGAACATGAACCTCCAGAAGTCGCCAGTGGTTTCCGAATGGTGAACTACTTGCATCGTACAAGACTGTCTCCAGCCACTCTACGACCGAGCTTGCGTATCCTCATATACATTAATCGTATTCGCACGTTGTGTAGTATAAGCTGAACCAATGTCGCTTCTCACTGGGCCACGAACCGGTCGTTGGACAGATGAGAGCAACCATCATCGTACGTTGTAACCGAAGCCTTACGTACAAAACTACCCTGAGGCGTTTTATAGATATTCAGTGGTTACAAAGCGACAACCAAGCCCAATGGCTCAAAGTCGCTGTGGCCATCTGCCTTACGCTTAGCACACCTTACATATTTCGAATATTCGTTAGCAGTTTCCTGGGCTTTGCAAGATGGATCTCTTCCGGAAGGGAAACGTCAAATCCGCCTCGAGACGAAGAGGTACAGCCTTTGACACCTACAAGGCTCATGAACGACGCGAAAACCGGACGGCAGATGCTACGACGCTTCTATGACGCCTTCCGCCAGAAAGAATCAAAACTCGAGATTCGACACCAGTTCTTCTATTTCTTCGTCCTCAGCACTTTGTGTTTTGCTTTCTTCTCCCAGATTATCGCAAGCTCCATCCTCACGGACAAGATGACGACAAATCGCATGGGCCTACTAGCATCAGAGACTTGTGGTCTCTACGAGTATGACAATGAAAGATGGGGCGAGGAGCAGGCCTCTCGTGTTGATAGCCTGATGGTAAAGAGAGAAAATCGAGCAGCGATCTATGCTCAAGAATGCTATGATTGGGGCAATGATAAAAAGGGCAAGGCTATGACGTGCGACTTCTTCTACAACTCGACCCTGCGGTACAATGTCAGTCCGTCATCTTGTCCGTTTGATGACAACGAAATATGTCGCTTCGGCGCATTACCTGGCAAAGCAGTCACGTTCGATACGGGCTACTTAGACTCCAGTCTCTTAGGTATCAACGCCAACCCCACTTACACTTTTCGGCGCACAACGACATGCGCTCCATTAAGTGACCAACCGCCTTACGTGCAGCATTTCTACAATAGTCCGGTCGATCGTGGATATCTATACCAATATGGTAAACTCTACAATGTTGATGACAAGTGTGAGGGAACGCCGGAGTTGTTGACGGACTATACTATGCGAATTGTGGGCCACCCTTTCGAATGGCTGGCGCCAGTTTATCGCTTGAAGTAAGTTTCCAAAGGTCCCAATGATACGGCTTTCTACTAACTTTCATGAACTTACAGTACATTCGCTACATCTCTGGGTATACCTAGCTGCGACTTTTATCAGCCTCATAGGAGTCTCATAGCACCCGGACTTGATACTCAATCAAGGACCAAGACACTCACGATCGTCTTCATCACAGCTCTGCACATTGTTTATACCCAAAAGAGCATCGACCCTATCTTTCCAGCCGACGACCCATACAAGTTCCAAGATGGCACCGTCGAGTACTACAAGAACTCAAGCCCGAAATCACGGGCATTTGCATGCATAGACGAAACCCAATTCTGCGACCCAACAAACACATACTGCTGGCATGAATATGAAAAGATACCAGACCAAGTATCACACATTGCCGAAGATCCAGCGTATTGGTTCATGGTAAATGCACTTAAGAAGTCCAACACTTACGATTCCATCAAACTACGACTCGGGAGCAGTCTCCTGGCGCAGCAGCGCGTTGGTGAAGCCAGGTCACAGGCGTTAGCCAATAACCACTGGGAGCTCGAAGCGGAACATATGTTCAAGACATCTTTGGCGAGAGCTCAGTTCGACGCATGGAGTCTAGCGAGTGGAGAAGATCATGATCAAGACACTTACAAGAACACTGTCGATGAATTCGCGGAGGGTATGTGCGGTCTCTTCAAATTTCGTGCCGCTGGACACGTAAACATACGCTTGTGGCCATTTTGGTTATTGTGCTCTGTATTGCCGATCACTTTCCTCTTGAGTGTAGAGCTCAAGACTTACGGGCAGATATGGCACAGCGCTATCAGTTCAGCGAGAGAGATACTCCCAAAGAGGAGCAATGGCTCAACAAGTGGTTCTGCGACAGGTGCTCTTGTTGCAAGCGACGACATCAATGAAGATGCATTCGTGGTGGGATCGGCGACATCTACTCGTCGCAGCTCAGATACACCAGCAGCTTCTGCCGTCACACCCACGGGGCAAAATGATCTAACAGACGCAAGCGCATCTGCTGATGGTTTGGAGATATCCTCGGAAGCCGCAAACAACCATCCAACACAAGAGTCGATGCCACCTGCCAGCACGACAACACCACTTGTTGCTCCAACGCACAAGTCGCGCGATTATGGGACATCCAGCGCCGCCCATAGTATGCACGGTAGTCGGAGCTCTGTACATACCCATCGCTCTGGCTCCGTGTTGAATAGGGAGGTTCAGTCTCTTGCGAGCGGTGAAGAAGGTAGTCGATCAAGCGAGCGGAACGATCAGGAATGGTCACCATTGCTCATACATGGTCCCGTTCTCATGGTAGCACATGTAACGCAAGCTGTTGGGAAGAAGAGGACGGAGTAGGTGTCTCATTAACTATGTATCTTATCGTTTCATCATTCATCATGACATGTGTGGAGTTTTCTTGTCGGCTCTTTTTCTGTAGTCCAGTTCATCGCTGGATTTCTGGAGTAGCTTAGCATTGCGCAAAATAGTTTGTGCTTATGTGTATACATGCGAGACTACGCAACTTCTTTTGATTGCCTAATTTAGTAGAGCTTGCGAACCCCGCGTTAGTCGCGCGACAATGACGAGGAATAAACACATGAACTCAGCCTTGCGAGCACATTCGCGTCCTCGTTAGTAGGGCCGCCCAGGCGAATTTGGTCGCATATCAGGCCACCTGCTGCGCCATTCTCAAGGTCTACCACATTTGGCTTAGCGTCTAGGATTTCGGAAACACAACATTACCGAATGCGTGGCCATGAAGTGCGGTCTTATAGAAGCACATCTCTAAGATTCCTTAGATTTGATGGAATCGAACAGTTTGTCTCAATTGACATTGTCCGTTTCGTGATCTGGCCCTTTGCGACAAGAGTTGTACAATATGACTGCAGTGAACACAATTGTAGCAGATAAGGATAGAAGTGTTGCTAGTAAGTCATATGCAGCCTGAATACCCGAACCAAGATGCTAAAATTTGCAACCTAGGCGGCGATGCTTCGTCTTTAGTGCACGTTAGTCCAACTGCGGAGAATGCCGACCTGTACACGATGGATCTTCCAGAGTACACCCACCTAGCAACGAGTGGAGAGATATCAGTAGACGCAGAAGCGACACGGAACGAGAAGACACAAATCTCAGATCAGTCACCGGCATACGATGCGGGCCCAGACCAACCTTTACAGCTACAGGTCTCGGATCGTCAGAGTGAAGAACAGAGTCTCCATGGAGAATACGAACACTATATACAACAAGATGTCGGAGGCCAAGGAAACCCATCGGAAATACGAACAACAGCCGCCCCAGTTCTGACACATTATCTTACAGAACCTGTCGCAACTGCCAGCCTCGCTAGCGTACGAGCGTGCAGTATCCTCAATGACAGACCCGCAGTATGGCTCGTGAAGAGGAAAAGCATGGCTTTATCACCACTCGCCGCAGCAGTGCTTACTAAAGAAGGACTCGTCCAAGCAAAAGACTTGCAGCTGTAATCAACCCTTCTACACACTAGAGGCTCACGGGAGCTGACATCCCCTGCAGGATCTCTCAATACGCCGACATGAAGCGCGATCCCACCGACCCCGTGTCCGCCATGTTCTTGACTACCTACGATGTCGTAAGCGGTATGATGCTCGGTCTTGTAGCAGGCCCTATCGAATTGGGTAAGCAAACCACACCAATGTTAATGCAACACGAAGCAAAACGGAAAGAGAAGCGAGGCGGTAATATAGAGTCATCGGGCTCTGAAATTACGAAAGACCCAGGCCACGTGGCACGCCAAGTAGCTCTCGGTACCGCAAAAGGCTTTGGGCGCATCGTCACGACGAGTCTCAAGAGCCCTGCAGTGATTATGCATGGTATTACACGAGGCTTCCATAATCTTCCCAAGGCATATGGCGAAGAGGTACGGCAGTATGAGAACGTGACTGGATTAAGAAGCGGGTTGGTGGTCAGCATGAAGAGCTTTGGTTACGGTCTTGGTGATGGGATAAGAGACCTCATGGTAAAGCCTATCGACGGCGCCGAGAAGAACGGTGTATTAGGTTTCGCCGCTGGATGTGCAACAGGCATTGCGAATGCGGCCTTCAAACCCGCTGCCGGTCAGTAATCTTGGGATACATATGAAAACGGCCAAGCTGACTGAATATAGGCGCATGTGGACTTGTCGGGTATTCATCGGTTGGCGTATATAAATCAATCCGCAACATTGGTTCAGTGAAAAAAGACGACCCAGCAGAACTGGTACGGAGCATAGGCAAGGCTGAGTATCAACAAGCGAGTGACGCAGACAAACTGTATATCGTGCGTCTGTGGTGTCAGACGCAGATGCGAGTGCGTATAGGTTAGCTTCTTCGACTCTGTTGCCTGAACACGATGATGCTGGTGATCGACGTTTTTGAATGTTGTATTGCGTTAAGACAAGGGTTCGCTCGGCATGAAGCTGCTAGAACTTCCCAAGGAAGCCAACTGGGTATACGCATGTAGCATGTCGAATAAGTAACGCCACCAGCTTCTAAGTCGAGGAAGAGGCTTTCTTTTCCACCCCGTAGACTCTCTTCGTCAGGTAATGAGCAAGCTGCCATTTCTGTCTCTTTGTTAGCCACTTCCAACTTTACGAGTGCTGATAGTTGACATACCACAACTTGTTGCCCCTCAAAGTAATTCTTCCACCTGTCGTCTTCGGCAAGGTCGACGACCACATCCCATGGCCACTGCTCGGACTCTAACTCGACAAGAGTGAAGTAACTGTGTAGCTCGTCCTTTGATTTGTTCTCGAACTTTGCACCTTGCATGGTTGTCGCATTGTCGATCTTGAAGAGGCGAAACCGCAGTACGTCTGGTGAACTAGATATTGTGGGACCGACGACATCTTTGTAGTACTTCAAGACCTCCTCTTCTTTGTCTGCAGCCACGTTCCATTCCATTGCCGCTACGCTTGCGACGTATTCGATGTCTATCGACATTAGTCCGTCATCGCCGGCTTGATCCTGTCCCGTGATCTTACCACCACCGTCACCTGACCAATCGTCTTGTTTCCAAGCCTTGATCTCTCGATATGATCGGATATCGAATCGCAGATCCTTGAGTGAGCTTTGCAACTCGCTGCTGGGTGGGTGGTATGATAAATCATACATGTCCTTGTTGGACTGGTCGACAGACTTCACCTCCCAAACGGTCATATAGGGCCACGGCGAATCTAACTTGCCCACTGGCTCGTCCTCCATACCGCTCGCCGTTACCTCGCAATGTATGCCATGGATGGCATTTGGCGAGTCGATTGATGGTAGATATTCGTTCTCGTACCATTCCTCACGTCCTTCTGGGAAGGTTGCCCAGAGACAGCATAGGCCTGACATGCTGTTTCGATTTTGCGGCGAGTTTGTCGCGACTTTGAATGGCTAAGAATCCGTGGTGTCCAGGGTGTGAGATGTATAGTAATCCAGGCGGTTGTGCCGAGCTGTCAGTCAATGTTGGCAGCGGGGAAGGACAGATGAACGACTCGTCTGCAACATGACGCGGCTGCCACCAAAGTTATGGCCGGACCCTGAAGCATAGCTGCTGTATGATAGCCCTCACGAGACGGTCCGACCGCATTTTGCTACCACCCTGTCTCGGAGGACGATAAAGCGGTATGTTCACCGGCAGCTGGCCAATGGAACAACGTGCGACCTAACATGATTGGCCGTTGATACCTGAGACGCAAAGCAAGAAATTCCTTCAGGGCGTGGGCTAACGTGCATATGTCGTAGACGATCGACCGTTCCCCACATCTTGCCACGAATGCCTCAAGTCGGAGAATTCGAGGCGCGGGTAGCGCCCGCATGCAGTATGATGTGTGCACATCAGCTGCTCGATTGATGCCGATACCGCCGCTGTTGTACTTGATGATGGATATATCTCCAAGTCTACGCTCGTGAAAGTCGTGGAAGCGCATCGCGTAAGGGAGTGACGCTAGGTAAGGGGTTCCAAGGTTGGTGTTGGGCCTCCTTGCGGCGCGCTTACCCTAGTGCCGGAAGACAGACGGCGTTACCCCAGCTTAGTGGCTTCAACGCCGCTTCTTGGAAGACACTGACCTGTCAACACCTAGCAAGTAATCTTGAGGCAGGTCACGATGTCTCTTTGGTCTCTCTGACCTTCAGAATTTTTGTGGTCGCATTGCGGATCGGACCCAGACATACGCTCCGTCCCGCTGTCACGCATTCGAGATAATCCCTGCCTAAAGTGCAACGCCGTGCATGTGGGTTCGCTTAGAGGGCGCATGACAGTATTCAGAGCTTGCCGTAACCGTGGAAAGAGGCCGGCAGTCGGGACTTGCCAGAACAGATCGGAAGGAATGCCAAGCGATCGATCATAGGCAGGGTGACGCACCTGAGTATCTCACCGTCTTATGGCCGCGTCCTGAAGAGTCTCTCATCTCATGGCGCAGTTCATTTGAGTTTTGAACCAGAGTGAATTCCGTCCTGGCGAGTTCCTGGAATGTGTGCGTCGTATTCGTGTACTTTCGCAGCACTATAAGCCCATATCTCTCAGCGTCGCAACGCCATAAACGTCTGAACGAGGCAATGTCCGCGAGGCCAGCTTCTGCGGTTGAAGAACTAGATGATCTCAACAAGTCGCTCGTTGCTCAATCTGGTACAATCCTCAAAACCAAAAGTAGAAGTGTCTTAATTAAGATCGAAGTGGAATTTTGGCTCGTGGCTTACCGGCTCTATGGGTATCGGATGAAGAGCTGCTATCTATGGAAGATAGCCCGCAAAGTTACGGTCCAGAAACGAGTGCAATCAAACATTGTCCACACAAATCGGGGCAGTGTTATCGCCAGCGACATCGCCATGCCTCAGAGAGAACAGGCTGGGCGAGTGCAGGTACTCTTCCAACATCATCAAGATATGTAGCCATATGTTTTGTTGAGCCATGAGTTCAGCTGCGACGAATAGCAGTGTAATAACAGCGCTTTCGACAGGTAGCACAAGAAACATGGCCGGTAGATGAAAACCAACATGCTTCCCGTGTGCGCAATCAACTACCTGGCCATATCATAGATCTGATAAGTTTCCTGCAAGATCGTGCAGATATCGGAGGCCGACGTGTGGTAGGTGCCGTACCAGATGGAACTGAGAAGCACTCCAGATGATAGCCATTAGCAGCTGAATACGTATATAAGCTTCGTACTTCAGTTATCATCAGCTTGCCTTCATAGCTACGCCTTCAGCTTCTCCTTGTGTGACATCTTATGACAAGTTCCACGATGCAAATCTTTACTCTTGTTGTCTCTATCCTCAACTTTCTTGGGATTGTTCAAGGCGCTGGAAGTGCGATCAAAGGCACGGGTTCAACTACTCGTCAGTGGTCTTGCTGCAAGAACTCTTGCTCTTGGCCGGGAAAAGCTCTTGTTGACAAGCCCGTATTGACGTGCGACGCAAGCGACAATCTTCTCGACAACTACAATAGGCGTGATGGCTGTGAGAGTGGTGGTGGTTCATATGCTTGCTCGGACCTCAGCCCTTTCGCTGTGAGTAACGACCTGGCGTATGGCTTCGCCGCAGTGAACCTTGCGGCTTCGAATGAGTCTGCCTGGTGTTGCTCTTGCTACTTGTAAGTTCCTTGGTTCGATGCTCGAACAGCAACTGACAACTTGCAGCCTGACATTTACCTCCGGTCCGGTCAACGGGAAGAAGATGGTGGTTCAAGTTACCAATACTGGATCCGACCTTGGGGAAGACCAGTTCAACATTGCTATCCCCGGTGGCGGCGAAGGTGCTATCCGGGGATGCACAAAGCAGTATGGTGGGCAAGACGTCTGGGGCGAAGACTTTGGTGGCGTAGCGCACAGAGACGATTGCGAAGCTCTTCCCACTGCTCTGCAGGCCGGCTGTTATTGGCGCTTCGACTGGTTTCGAGCAGCCGATAATCCAACCATCAACTGGGAGAAGGTGACTTGTCCTGAGGCTCTGTCGTCAACTTCTGGCTGCAGACGTAATGACGACCCAATTCCGGGGCAGAACACTCAGTCACCAACACCTACGACATCTGCCCCGATATCTTCTGGTACTGTACAGCCTGGGGGCCAGTGTGGTGGAAGAACTTACAAAGGCCCTACCCGATGCGTAGGAGGTACGGTCTGTACCTACGTCGATGAGAACTCATACTACTGCCTTGCAGATCCAGCCAGTACACGGACGACACCGACAACGACAACATCGGCTAGTGCCATGCCGACGATTGGTCTACCATATGACCGTTGCGGAGGAAACGGATGGACCGGCCCTACGACGTGCAAAGATTCTGTGTGCGTAAGAATCGACGAGTGTAGGCTACCTTGTTTCTCTTCAATTACCATGTCAAGTACCTGTCATTGCGCAACGACAATTGACCACTCTCAGGGTACTCACAATGCCAACCCCCAGTTTCATCGCAGAAATCGTCGAGCACGCGGCCTCAGACCACGGCTAAACCATCATCCACCTCAATTGTTCCGCCAGGACGGCCATCAACTCGCACCCGGCGCACAACCACGACCAAACCTACGACGCCGATAGCCACAGGTCCAGTACAACTATATGATCAGTGCGGCGGGCAGACATGGCAGGGTTCGACAACCTGCAATCAGGGGTTAATTTGCTTCAAGGTTGACGAATACTACTCACAGTGCCAGAAACCGTCTTAGACAAGTGGAACGTAAGAGAACGGTGTGGCAAGGACAGTGACTTTTCGGCTTCTCGACGGTGAATAAGTCGTGCTGCTAGTACATATGTGTTGGAGCATGATTGGATAAATTGGAAAGATAGCTTGCCGCAATACAGGCTTACCTTCGTTGAGACTGATTAGAAGACGGTCGTAATCAAGGACAGGATGTCGCTGGCGCTCGCATTGGTGTGACAGCTCACCGGGATCTATATCGTATTTCTCCTTTCTCCTACCCTTCACAACTTTGCCTTAAGCCCGAAGCTTTTCTCCACGGCTTCAACACCCTTCTTCGCAACATCCTCATCCTGACTCGGCAACCCAGTACTACATCCCACAGCGCCAACAACAACTCCGTCTTTCACAATTGGAACACCTCCCGCAATCGTCATAAATCTCCCTTGGTTGCTATGATTGATGCCATATGCGGGCCCCCCAGGATACACGTTGTCTTTGTACACCGAGGTTGGCGCTCGGTGACCTGCAGCTGTAAAAGCTTTATCGATGGCGATATTGATAGAAGTGAGCTTTGCGCCTTCCATACGGGCGAAGGCAAGCAGATGGCACGCGTTGTCCATGATGGCGATGTTCATTGGTACGTTAATTTCTTTTGATCGTTGCTCGGCAGCCGCAAGGGCAATACGGGCCCCATCGAGGGTTAGTGTTGGAATTGATTTTGTACTCATGATGACTTTTGATGATGGAGCTTAGATAGTGTGTTGGAAGGAATGTGCTGATGGACGCGATGATAAGGTGTTGAAGATGGACCTCGGATATTGCAGGAGACAGGCGTGTATGACGTAGACGCGTGGTGATTGGCTGTCGATGCGGGAGCCGCTTGGATAAACGCGTCCCTTTCGCGGGTCCGCTCCATCCTGCTACATCAACCTTGAACGTGCATGCTTTCTGCCCTCGCATCCATGTCACTTATGACGATGTAGCAGCACTTCAGCAATAAATTTATCTGATGTCGACCTGCACGGCGCAGCCTAGGTTGAGGGTCCGAATGAGAGAGGCCCACGCGGCGAGTCCTGAAGAAATCAGCAAGTTCGAGCGCAGAATCTGGTGTATTAGCTGGGTCTGAGATGCCAGAAAACTTTGCTCATGAGACTGCCAGTGTTTCTTTATCGTTGAGTAACGATGACAGTCGTCGACCGTTACTTCCAGATTGCTTGGCCGTCTCGTTCTAACTTTCCGTATTTTATCTTTTGTTCACACCTCGAAGTTTTCAGATTACAGTCCTCCAATCACTTCACGGCTTGCGAACCAGTAGTATCTGTTCTTGTAATTCCCTTGGCAGTCTTTAGAGCTTTTTCTCTTGTGATGGGTTCAGAGTGGAATTGCATCTTGGCAGAGGTCGCAATGGGCTTGGTGTCGCAAACACAAAGTCTACAGTCGAATGCGCACTGTTATGGAGCGCTATCGAGCAATCATACGCCGTATTGCTAAGATGTCGCTGTATACCCCCGGGTTGTCTTATTCTTCCTTTCACTTCAGTGTTGTGAACATCGGTGTGGACGCACACTGTGCGAACCACACGTGCCTCTTCTACCTTCACCTACGTTTGCGCAGACTACCGTGAGCAGATCCAGTGCGTCATGTGCTGTTCGTGATATGATATTCCGAAACTTTGCCTCTTGACCACTTGAATCACGCACAAGTCTCAACATCTGCGAGCGACTTTGCGAGTTGCTAGTCTGTACACACCATGAAGGAAGAGGATATTCTTGCTCGCCATGCTCGGCCCCAGAAGTACTCTACTTGGATTCCGAAGAAACGCGACTGGCGTTACGCGACTGGAGTCTTCCAACACGACGATATCGAGGGCACGCCTAGAGATCGATCAGCATGGGACGACATGGACTACGAGTACCAACTTACATATACTCGGAAGAGTAGAGAATGTAGTATTGTTGATCAGAGTAACGGCTACGGTACAGCGCTTGACAAGAGCGTGTCGATACCAAGTACCCCAGAAGGCACGAAGGGGAGGCACTTACTGGGACATCCAAAGACCACCGTTAGTGTCGAGGCGTTCAAGAAGAAGGCAAAGACTGCGGAAAGGAGCGCATGGCATTCAATATCGAGGCGTCACCAGATTGGCACGTCCAAGACAGAAGGCGAGCAGTCAGCCTACGAGACTTATAGCTTGACGGTCAGGCTACGCTTTTCAGGCAAACTCATCATCGAAGACGCGCTTCCACACATGGCGACATCAGGCTCCATCGGATTTCCATAGCTACCAAGCACACCTGCGAAGTCGAAAACGCCTTATTCTCCGAACTCACCAGCCACGGCTCGCACTGCAAAGTCACTTTTCACTCCATATGCACTTGACTCTATCGAATCCGCACACAAATACCCTCTCTTTCAGCGGACGTGGGTTGATGAGACAAAGGACTTCAATATGCGGGCAGTCCGAGGGATTCTGCAAAAGTCTGGCTCTATAGGGAAGGACCTTCGGCCGAACTACACATGGTATAACGATGCCGTTCCAGTGGACGCCTTGCTCCCTCCCGGGATACCTTTATCTGCTAAAGAGATCAACGCGTATTATCCTCATCACGTTCGATGGAGAGGTGTAATGGTTCGAATGGCAAACAACGACTATCGTGGGCCAGACATCTTGGGCATGCAGGTAAGCTGAGGTCTTCCCAGTAATAGCGAGATACATCATGGCTGACACCTATCCAGGAATTCTTCCGTGGCCCTCCTACGATGAACATGTCAAGCGCGGCGATGAACCAAATACAACGCGACTCAGTCAAGAATGTCATAATAGGCTTCAAGACCGACACCACTAAGGGAAAGCATGATGCGAACTTACATACCGATCACCTCGAGCCGGGCAGGTATATCGCAGAGAAGCGCAGCGGCTACATCCTACCAACGTTCGACGACCTCTTGCGTGGCCTCCATCATCTACCGTCTGGTCTCGATGCTCGCGGCCTCACAGAGTGTTTGAGGTGGTATCTCGAGTTCCGCAACTCTTTTACGCCTAAACTTGACTTGAATGTCCTCTATACTCAAGCTCTAATCCGTGCCCTTCGTATCCCTTTGAAGCGATTCGGTCCCCAAAATCTAGACTGCAATGCGCTTGAAGAGTGGAAGGTATGGGGGAAATTCGAAGAACGAAAGGTATTTTACGAATCAGCGAAGCCAGCATCAGCCAAGATCAACAATACGGGGCAGAAAAGGTCGCAACTTCACATGAATCTGGATGACCACGAAGTCAAACTTAATATCCAGCTGCCACTCCGTCACATCCTCGTCTTCCCTTTTCTTGCGCTACACGGTGTTGTAGGTGAAGCGCTCAAGCTTGGGATCGAGAAAGCCGAGAACCGCAAGGCCGAAAGGAAGAGCGCAGAAGGACGAAGGATGTTGGAAGCCAGGTGGGCTACCAAATCAGCTAGTGATACTGGTTTAGGAGCGAATAACCAAGAGATGAACGCTGAACAAGCACAGAAGATGGTGGTGGCGCCCGAACCAGCCGTGAAAGCAGAGGGAAAGACAAAGCAATCTTATTTTATTCCAGAACGCGTCCTTACGACCGAAGCACTACGTTCTCTTGCGCCAGCACCGAAGAAACCTCTGACTGCACCGCCAGCAGATGGAGGACCACTCGGTCACCGCGGACCGCCTGGACCACTAGTTGCAGTGCTATCGGCACAAGCTTCTGCTAGACAGCCTTCCATGCCACCTGTATCTACGCATCTCGACAGGCCTCAGGGTGTACAGGCACCGTCCCCTGCATATGCGCCTCATTCAGCATATGGACGGAGGGGGTATGAGTCGACAAGGCCGACAGATCAGCGTGATAAGAGGGGAGGTAGTGGTGGTGCGAGATACTATTAGAGGGGTTGACAGTATGGAAGCTACAAGCAAATGATGCAACTTGGACCCAGTCGACACTAGGGATGAATAAGAGAATTGCCTGAAGCTCTGAACTGTGACTTCATAACTTTACTCATAGCCTGTAAATAAGAACTAGACCTAAAGACATTACTGAAGCAAGGATACGAGGTACAGTGCGGTTAGGGTATGAAGAAGCTCAATCATTCCATGTTCTACAATCTAAAACTGAGATCTCCTCTAAAATTATACGCAGATTTCTCTAATACAACATTCACAGAAAAACGACACCACGTACCTTCAGGGTAGGTTTTGTTGGGGTAGAACTTCGGAAACAGATCAACGTCTTTGTACAGCTTACATCTTAACCCCGCGAACTTGGGTTCGGAAGTGTCTGGCCCAGGCTGCAGTCGTGGCTGTGCTACTCAAGGCCACAACTGACGCTCATCCTTGCAACAGCCTACACGTAGCTACACATGCAGACTACATTCGCTGGAGAGTCAAATTTCATGTCAAAACTTGCTTGTGTTGTATAATTGGTACTACTTTAGTGACCAAATAGAACCCCCATGTCGCAATTTCCGCTAGTTGGTCTCGCACTCACAGCAAATCATGCGACTGCATCTGCGCGATGGCCTGACGGAAGTTTCGAAAGTCTCGGTCGGGTGGAAGGAACGTACGAATATATAGAGATGATGCAACGTCTCTCTTTGTCCTCTTCAGAACACATAAGGTGAGCTGATAAGCCCATGTTCTTTCGCGACTAGATACTGACTATGTCTCTTGTAGTCCACCATACGACATTATGGAAAGTCTGTGGGACGAAGTTCTGCAAAGAGTTTGGCGTGGCGTACGCACAACATTCGGTCTCGCAGCGTCTGCCGACCTAGCTGTGTTGGCCAGGATGCTCAAAGCAGCAGCGCAGATGGCGGAGAGTAAAGTCGGATACCCTATATCGGTAATACTGAGCTTTCCCATATTGCCTGCCTTGCGCCAGGAAGATGTCACTTCGGCCATCGAGCACGCAGGATTATGCACACCGACATATTGCGGAAAGCAGTTACACGAGCTCGTTGCTGCGTATGCCGGCTATGAGATGGGCCTCTCAGAGAGCGCACCTGAACTTGCAAGCCGCAGTAAGAAGATGCACGAGCTCCCGAGACGCCACGTCGTCCTCGTGGAGTATACCGAGGTTGCTATTCTACTTTACTGCGCAGTGCTGGAAAAGGGAAGCAATACGCCCGACGTCACAAGAGGGATTCGGACAAGTTTTGAACTAGGCAGCAACAACGGAGCCTCGACAGAGGAGGTACATGATTTTGTCTCGGAGTACTTGCGTGACGTAAGTTCCAGTAACACACGTTGGGGTTTCCCCGAAAAAATCAGTATCATGATGACGGGAAGTCTAGAAAGTGTTGGTCGCGCAGGGATTCGACAGGCAATCGTCGGGGCCGTTGAAGCATTTGGATCGCGGGCCAACGTTCTGTATTCTGATCCGGAATATGTTGCAGCGAGGGGTGCGGCTGAGATGGCATGGCGAGCCACTCCGCAGATGGAGAGCACCGAGGTGTGAAAATCAATTTCTAGCGACGGATTCGATTCTTTCGGTGTAATGGCTAAGAGCCGAATTGCGACTTCCTTTTTCATCCTTGGATATGCATATCGTCTGTGCAACCGACTTGTCAAGATCGTGGTGACTAGGAAGACCCTCGTAGCACCTGACGCCACAAAGCAGATCACCCGAGAGGGAAATCAACAGCTTTGCGAGAAAGTTACCGGAATGGGCAGGTTGAGATCTGAAACTGCACGTTTTGGCGAGATTGTGGTTCGCTTGGATGAATCAGTACCAAATTGTGCTGTGGGACCAGAACTGAACCTGGTAGGTATGCAGGCAAGGCTGGGGACACCTGACCAGGTGAATGAATCATCGAGGGGCAATGATTAGTCTACAAGTATAGAGGTACTGGGGTCGTCGAGAGATGTGAATGCGTGCGAGTGGGAAGCATAAGGATTGCTTTTTGTAAGAGCTATGTTAAATTTGGGAAGACGCTAAACAGTGGTAGATAGTCAGAAACTACGGGAATTTGCTGCCGCGCTGCGCATTTGCGAGCGTTGCTGTCGGTCTAGCGAAGTCATTGATCTGCAAATCATGCGTATGATTGGCACAGGGGGCTAGGTTCCTCAACGATGACGATAGCGCCGAGCATGTTCAACCTCAATTCGGCCTGCAGCACGGCCGGTAGCCCTGTTTCTCCGCCACGCCCTCGTGGCTGCCTCTCCTTATGCGAAGTAGTTGCGTCTCTCACTAGCTTGTTAATGTATGTTGTTTAGTGTTTTATGTGGTTTACCCAGCACTCTACCGTGACTTGAACGAGCGCACCTCCGCGGCCAAAACGAGATAGGAGAGGTCCAATGCCTGACCAGCAGCGCCGCTCATGGCACCAGCCCAACGTTACTAATCTGCCACCCGACTCGTATACCTCGCAGAAATTGGTATGCACAGCTACAGACTTGACATGTCGCACGCTAAGACGCGCAGGAACATGCGACGCCTGAGCATCTGCATCTTACCTCGAGACGCTACTTCATCGGGCCTATCCCAGTATGCCTTCCCCATTTCTCGACGAGGCCTTGGCTCACATACAGGTAGACAGCATGGCTCACCAAACACCGACGCGACTGGTACAAGCACCACCTCCGAATCAACTACTCGACGCGTACGGCGACCTTCTCTTCCGATCCACGCGAGGCCCGCCAACGACGGCTGAGCGGCCTTGAAGGACCCAGCTCTTCTGCCCTCTTCCAGCACAGTTTCCCCCAGCCCGAAGAACTCGAAGCAAAGGAGGACGAGGATGGCGCGAACGAGTCGGAGGCTAGTGGAGCCAATGGCGCGGCAGATGCGACTGCTGCCACTCCACCCGCCTTGCAGGTTCCGCGTGCTTCAGACCAAAAAAGCGATGTCATGGAAGACGCAGAGTACGATGAGTTCGTAGACGCACCCTCAGAACCAGAAGACGAGGACTCCGAACGCGAACCCCACGGACGCACTTTCCGTCGATCCAGCTCCAAGACCTTCGTTACTGCGTCCTCAATACCTATGGACGAAGATGAAAATGGAGGGGACTCGGACCAAAGACCGCTACACGAGCAACAGGAACAACAGCAACAACCGCAGGCAAGTGGTTTACATGTTCCTTCAGGCCAAGAGGAGGCAGGATCAAAGTCGCTAGGCAAACGCCCACTGTCAAATGTAGAGAGCCTTGGGAATCCGGCATCAACTATTGGAGCAGCTTCTGTAGATGCAAACTCCACATTGTCATTGCTGCGTAACGCTGACATGAACAAGGCGCCGGCCTCCGCTGATGTCGATTCGAAGCCGCCCGCGAAGGGTATAATGGGAAAAGTGAGGAGGAAATCAGGCATCTTGTCGTCTTCTTCGGGACAACTACAAGAGGTCGACTCGGCCACGGGAGAATTGACGCGCAAGAAGTCAAACCTACGAAATCTTGTAAAGTTCGACATTCCAGAAGACTCCCGACGCGCCACCCTCCATCTCAAAGCGAAAAAGGCACAGATGACGGTTCAGCGAGCAGGTACCAAGGTGAGACGACAGAAGATCAAAGATGGGCTGGTCGTCAAGATGGAGCGCATGCTTGTGCGCGTTGACGCTGCTGCAGAGGTCCCAGAAGATTTCGATGAGAACGTTAACCAAAGGGTCGTGTCCCGCGTCAAAGAAAAGTGGCGGGAGTACATGATCGTCTGTCGCCACAATCACGTCAATGATGCCGAGTTTGTACTGCAGTTCTATCAGACTCGGGTGCGTCTCTCCAACCTTTCCCTTCGACCCAAGTTGCTGACTTCGTTGACAGGTCATCCCAGAGATCGAAAATGCGGGAGCAGGTAAGAAGGCTGCGTACGAAATTCCGCTGGGTAAGAAGACTTGCAAAGTCAATCTTTACTCGTCGTTGGACAAGTCGATGGTCGTGTCCTCACCTGGTTCACGTGAGACTTTGATCTTTATTATGCAAGCTCGGACTGCCTCCAATGCAGTAGAGTGGTATACCTTCCTCCGAAACGTCCTTGGCTGGCAACGCGCTTCCGAACTTCAGATCAGCATACCGGACATGAGCTTGAGTATTCGAATAGCCAACCCGTTTGAGAAGCTGGAGGCATCACAGAACAAAGTGCATGATGCGGACAATATAGAAGAAGCCTTGCTCAAGACTATGCAAGAAGAGCAGGCAGTTGCGCAAGAGCTGATTAGGCGTTGCCTGGATCAATTACAAGATGCACCAGAGTGGGCAGATGTGCTGGAGTCCTGGATCAAGGACCAGCGCATTGGCCTCGCTTGGAAGCGATACGATCGACTGGAATGGATACACGGAGCCAACGAGCGGAAGATGTACGGCACGATAGCTATGCTCAAGTCGCACGAACTGGAACTGAGACCGAAGACACACTACCCTACGACTGCGGTGACAAGGAAGAAACACAAAACGTTGACCGAACCAGTTCCTGTCGAAGGTTTCCTGATCAGGCTGACAGGGCAGCGAGGACGGGCGCAGCGACTAGGGCTCATGTACCACAAGCAACTCTATTTCGCTAGCCACGACCAGTATCTTGTCTTCTCACGACCCACAAAGGTCACTCCACCTCCGCCTCCGAGACTACCTGCGTCTGAGAATGCAAACGTACCGACAGCAAAAGCGGTCAAGGACGCAGTGCCAGAAAGCTGGGCTGTCAATCCTTATGCTACGCAGGCTGGTCAGATCGAGTGGTTGATGGAAGGACATTCGGGCACGACAGAGGCCAAGCGATTGCATGACGAAGACGCAGCGGATGAAGCTGCTCGCAAAGAACAAAACCTGCTCAACTGTGATGGCTACATCAACCTGGCGGACGTTGTTAAAGTTCGAAAAGCACAGCTGGGTGCTAGCCCCGCTGATCAGGACCTCGAGGAGGGCTCAGATGTGGACTTTGACGAAGAAGTCGATGATTCTATGCGCAATGATGGAGCCACAAGCGACCTTGACATCGATCGCACCTTGGAGTTGGTCATGAAGAATGGCCTCATCATTCGCCTACAGGTATGTGGCCCTCCGGTATACCATCTGCTTTCCTGACTAACCCGATCTCCAGGCCGCAGATAAAGCCCGTAGGAAAGAGTGGATACAGCACCTGCGCGCTCTCGCCAAGTATTGGAAACACCGCACTGCGTCTGATATCGCGCTCTACAAATCAACACGTAGTCGCAATCTCAGCGCCCTTAAGATTGACGAAGAGACAGAAGCACACGTTGGACAGTTTGCGAGAAAATGGGAGGTGACTCAGTCATTTGCATCACCACAGCTTTACAACATGTGTGGCATCGCTTGTTGTCGCAGTATCCATATGAGCGGAATGTTGTATCGGAAGCCCCGCATACACGCGCCCTTTACACGATGTAGCGTTTTGCTGACCGCTGGTACGTTGCTGATCTTTCGAGATGTCTTGCGAAGCAGGGTCGGCAAACAACTGGCGCACATCCACCACGAGCGCATAGCGAATCTCGATCTCAAGGATTGCTACATCTATTCTGGTCTCCTCACGGAAAACGACCTCCTCTACCAGAATCAGACCTTCGATGCGAACAAACCAGGTCACCACGCTCTCCCACGTATCTACCTCGAAGACGGCTGGACGTCGACTGACGAGGATGTCATGACAACGTTCGTCATCTGGCATGGCAAAGCAAAGAGCTGGTTTCGCGCCGAAGAGGGAGCAGGTGGCGGCGAACAGAATCGGAAAGAAGGCAAGCGAACAAAGTTGAAGAGGGTGGCTAAGCTTGGTAGCAAAGGCCGTAGCGTGGTCTTTAGGGCTCGATCGCGTGCCGAGCGAGATCATTGGGTGCTGGCGATACAGAATGAGATCGAGAGGATCCAAGGTGATAATGCGGACTTCAGACTCGAGGAGAGTGGTGATAAGGGGACGTCGAATGGCAGTGTTAGTCGGAGTAATACGGGTACATAACAGGAGGATAGGTTCGGCATGGTAATGGAGCTTTGCATTGTATTTTGGCGCATCACTCTAGGCTAGTGCACTTGGTCATGGGCATTTGGGACTGTACACGGTGGCCTACGTTTTGAGCATATTCAGTATCGTATACTTGGTGTTAGCACTTTATAATAACATCGGAATTATTCACCTACTTTTTCACTTAAACGCCACCAGGCAGGTCAAGTATACATGCATCGAACACTGTCTTCTATTTTGGACGCACATACCAGATACAATATTTCAAATAGGGAATCTCGCAAGCGTGCGTTCACTGTACCGCCTCGAGGTGTAGAGTCGTATAACTAGCGCTACTCTGCAGACTCTTGCGTGAGCGCTCTCACATTCACATCCAATTTGCAGCCACGCGTTGCTCCTGCCTGATACGCTCACTCACGCTGTAGCCTTGGCGATATCAGAACGCGCTCGGCCCACTCCCCGCACAAACAAACGGCCGCTCCTATTGATAAATACCCCCAAATCCTGCACTCACCTTCTCTTAACCTACTTCTTCTTCTACACTCGTTTAAAAGAATCTACTCGCTCCCCATCAACGTCGAAGCAACTCAATCCACACCTTCGATCTTCTCAACCACACTCACTTACAACAAGTTACCGCATTGCAATGTCTATCTTCAGAAACCTCCTCGCGGCCACCGCTATCGTCAACGTCGCCTTCGCAGGCATCGCGTACTCTTCGGATGTAGCGTCTGTTGTTACGTCCGTCCAGCTCGTGACTTCGGTGACCTTTGCCGACCCGCCGGCGGCTTCGTCTAGCACACACTGCAACACTTTGACTGTTACAGAGGTAGCTCCTCCTAGCACCGTAACCGTCGTTGCTCCCCCTCCTGGTGCTAGCGGCACTGACATTCTGGAGTCCTCCAAGTCCGATGGCATGACCATCCAGACCTCTATCCCGTCGTCTACTATCTCAAAGGTATTTGGAACTGAGCCCTGCACCCATGTCACTTCTGGCAAAGCTGCCATCGCCATTGGCTGCTATATGCCTTCAAGTTCATCGTCTAATATCCCATAGGTTCAGCCAACAGAGACTTGCGTCAGTAGCCTCCACACTGTCGCGCACGGTGGCAAGGCTTTTACTATCACTGCCTGCCACCTACCTCCAGCAGGCCTGATCTCTGTAAGTACTTACCCTAATGTATGCATCAATTCCCAAGCAATCATCTAATATGCTCGAGCAGTCTACTGGCACTGTCACCTTGAGCGAGACCGAAGTTATTCCCGTGCCATCGGCTAGCGCTACCATCGACACCTCTCTTGTCCATGCTACTGCCAACTTCACTGGAACTGCGATTACTGGAAGCATCATCTCACCGTCTTTCAGCCGTACAAACACTTACTCGCACACCTTCCACATGAATGGCACCAAGACTGCTACCGCTACTGGCACAGGTGGTGCTAGCGCTAGCGCCTCTTACACGGCACCCTCCCTCCCTCCTTTCACCGATGCTGCGGATGCTACCAACGTGGGCGCTGCTGTCCTCTTCGGTGGTGTTTTGATGGCTCTTTTCGGCGCCTAGGTGCTTGAGGTAAAGGGCTGCATAGAGACAGCTTTGCAGTCTTCAGACTGAGGACTGGCGAGTTTGATGATGAAAGAACATCGTGTTAAGCATATAACTTGTGGTTGATCTATAAGCCTTGTGTTTGGATCCCCATATTGTATGTTAGATGAAGAGTAGTGCCGTGCTGCTCGATAATAAATTTCATGATCCCAAAGCTCTTTCTTCTGCCATGTCACCGTATACGAGGGAAAAACCGAACAGGTATAGACATAACATGCTTTACCTTGCAACCTACATTATCTTCTAATAAGAAAACTTATCAACATTAACAGTATTGTAGTCTTCTAGGTTTTTAATCTATATCTATATAGCTCTCTGTATGCTCTTTTATAGTAGGAAGGAGTACTCCTAAAGAGGAGATTTGTTTTTTCTCTTTGATACAGTGAAGTGAACATCCATGACTTATTGCCTGCTTGACCTGACATTATGAAGCTCGAATATGATGCCGTATGTCTGTATGATTACACGCCGAAATATCTTCTAATGCATCAGCAGTACAGTAGGCTGTTGGGAAAACAGTCTGCATCCTTGGGGAAGGATGTGGTGAGGTTGCTGAAAGATTGGATGGGGGTCGCGCGTTACCGAAAGCGGTTTGGCCTTTGTTGCCCCACGGCGGCGGGCGATCTCACACAGTGAGTGGGCAAATCTAGGTTGAGTCACTGCGAACCAACTACTTCGACGCTTCCACTCGGTCTCCGCTCAGCACACCGAAAGACATAGCACTCAGCCCATTCCGCACGTCGCCCACATCGTCGACCGCACGACAACTTTGAAAATTCCTGTCCACAAGCGAGGAACAACACTAGAAGCGACCCCACTCGGCGACAGTTGAACGACGTACCCAACACCACTTAGGAGAAAACGAAGAGCACACATTCATCATGTCTCTCACAAATTGCCGATTCTACGAGGAGAAGTACCCGGAGGTGGAGAGCTTCGTCATGGTCAACGTGAAGCAGATTGCAGAGATGGGCGCATACGTCAAGTTGCTCGAATACGGTAGGTTCAGGGCATATTGAAGGTATCACGAGCAAGACTAAGAGAATCCAGACAACATCGACGGCATGATCCTGCTTTCCGAACTTTCGCGAAGACGTATTCGATCGATCCAAAAGCTCATCCGAGTTGGCCGCAACGAAGTCGTCGTCGTACTCCGTGTAGACAAGGACAAGGGTTACATCGATCTGTCGAAGCGCCGAGTGTCGCCTGAGGATATCGTAAAGTGCGAGGAGCGATACAACAAGTCGAAGATGGTACACAGCATCATGCGCCACGTCGCCGAGAAGACCCAGACACCCATCGAGGAGATTTACCAAACAATCGGCTGGCCGCTAAACAAGAAGTACGGACACTCGATCGACGCCTTCAAGCTCAGCATTACGAACCCCGAGGTCTGGAACGATGTCACATTCCCCAACGACGTTGTCAAGGAGGAGCTCCAGAGCTACATTGGCAAGAGGCTGACACCTCAGCCTACCAAGGTCCGATCGGACATTGAGGGTATGCTGGAGGAAAAAACACAATGTGGGCACTTTTACTGACGTCTATAGTCACCTGCTTCGGATACGAGGGTATCGACGCCGTCAAGACCGCCCTGCGATGCGCTGAGGCGAAGAACACGCCCGAGAACCAGGTCAAGGTCAAGCTCGTATCCCCACCTCTTTACGGTACGTGATGGAAGAGCAAGTATGTACGTTGTCTTGCTAATTGTCTCAGTCCTCACCTCGCAATGTCTCGACAAGAGCGCCGGTATCGCATGCCTCGAACAAGCTATCATCGACATCAAGGAGAACATCTCAAAGGCCGGAGGTGACTGCCAGGTTAAGATGGCACCAAAGGCTGTCACCGAGAACGACGATGCCGAGTTGGCTGCGCTCATGGAGAAGCGTGAGCGCGAGAACCAGGAAGTCAGTGGTGACGAGGACGAGAGCACGAGCGACGAGGGTGGTGTTGCTGAGGCCGACTAAGCGGCTAAAGAATGACTTGCATACGAGCGACCATGATAATGAAGACCAAGGGGCATCTGCAAAAGTGGGCACGGGCGTTTGAGGCGTCGATTTGGTGGTTCACGAGCATGCACAAAAGGCGTCTCGACATGTACAGCACCTTGTCTTCAGCCACATGCATATCTGCATCTGAGCATAGAGTGGAGGGTTATAAAAGCGGCTTTTAGCGGCTCTAGCAGCAAATCAAGAATGAACAAGTACTAATGTCCCATTTTTTTCTAACCGTCGAGTCGGATGCGTCCGCTGGTGTTGGCTCAGCAGTAGGCGGGAGCTTGGGCCGTTGGCTAGGTGGAGCGGGAGATGGACATCGTGCGATGACGCTGTGGACCGCCGAGCATTGCAGGTGTTAATCCAGGTTTAGCCAACACTAGCACGAACAACCCTGTCTTATCGTGGATCCTGCTGCTTTGCTGTCTCTCTGACACCGCAGCTTCCCTTCTGCTCAACTCTTGGGCGCGTTGTGTTGTATCGTTGTGCCGCGCATTATTCGTTTTTCGAAGCTCAACGCTACCTCGGTACTTTGTTGCTGAGAACTTGGACAGCTCGATACTGCTCCCGCCAAGCTTGATAGAACTTCTGCGAGACACGACGCCTACGGAGCTCCGCCGCAACAATGGTGCGGTGGAATGAGCTTTTCAGCTCGGATGGTCAAAGCGGAAGGCACAGAGTCCAGGATGAGATGAGCGCGCGTAAGTTTTTCATCTTTTTTTTTTCTCTTCCGCCTCCAGTACTAACATTCGCCAGTTCTGCCAACGTCGCGTCGCGAACACCTCCCTCCTCCGCCCATCGACCCCAAGGATGTTACCATAGTAGCCCTGCGACTGAAGCATCAAATCGAACAAGTTGTACCCTGCGAGCTCGAAGAGGAACAGGTCACCAGGGCGCATAGCAGTATCATCACCGATGCAGTGCTAGAGACCGCCAAGCAAGCAGGAGCTCCCGAGCACAATGCCTGCGTCGTCTTCTGCTTGTTGCAGGTCAAGAAGTGGTTCAAGAAGCAAGCTACTGCAGAGCTGTGGGATGCTGACCTACACGAAGTCCGCGCTGTGGCGGCAGAGATCATGGCCAAGCGCCTGATTGAGGCCGAAGAGGATACCGCATACCTTTTCGAGGAGGTGCTACTTAAGCGCTACTCGACACTGATTGATGGAGAGCCAACTACGCCTGCCAACGTCGTTGAGAAGGCTGTCGATCTCCACGCTGTGACAGTCATCGGATCGTCCGGCTACCAGAAGTGCATCAACTACCTATGGCGCGGATGGGTAGTCCAGGACGACGAGGACCCCAGCCGCTTTGTGCCGTACGAGAACAAGACCAACACCAGCTACTGGGCACATCTGGATCCAGATCGCATGCGAGTTCCAAAGTACCAGAACTGGGTGCAAATTGCTACGTCCCTCATCTTCCTGGGCCTTTACACCGGTGCTATCAACACTATCAACCCCTCTGGTGACCTGGATGTCGTCGAAGGTCTGCTGTACCTCTTCACTCTGGGCTTCATCTGCGACGAGGCGAACAAGTTCTGGAAGGTCGGACGATTCTACATCTCCTTCTGGAACATGTTCAACAGCACCCTGTACGCGCTGCTCACTGTCAGCTTCGTCCTGCGCATGGTAGCTCTTGGACACCCAATCAGCGACGAAAAGGATACGAGACGCGAGTACCTGAACAAGATGAGCTACGACTTCCTAGCTTTCACCGCGCCCATGTTCTGGATGCGTCTGCTGTTGTATCTCGACACCTTCCGCTTCTTCGGTGCCATGCTCGTTGTTCTCAAGGTTATGATGCGCGAGTCGCTCATCTTCTTCATGCTACTGCTTGTTGTCATGATAGGATTCTTCCAAGCTTTTATTGGTCTCGACATCGCGGACGACCAGCTGGCAAACGACACTGTCTTTGTGTTCCAAGCTATGTTGAACGCTGTCATGCAGTCTCCTGAGTTCGAGGGCTTCGACAACTTCTCGGTACGTCACAACTTATTTGATCAAATCAAGTATGTGCTAACAAGCAGTAGCCTCCCTTTGGTATCATCCTTTACTACATCTTTACATTCGTCGTCATGGTTATCCTGCTCAACGTTCTTATTGCTCTCTACAACTCTGCCTACGAAGACATTACACAAAACGCCATCGACGAATACATGGCACTTTTCTCGCAGAAGACGATGCAATTCGTCCGCGCTCCCGACGAGAACGTCTTCATCGCTCCCTTCAACCTCATCGAGATGTTCTGTCTCATCCTTCCATTCGAGTGGTGGATGGACGAGAAGCGCTACGACAAACTCAACGACATGGTACGTACTCTTGCTAGCATATGCTGCCTACCACTTCGCTATCTACATGATGAATATCTATGTATTTGCTACTTCAGAGCTTCGGCTATGAGACAATTATCACCTAGTACTGATTACAGCACTTTTTCACTCCATTTTTTACAAGCTGCATTAAATCCACAGTCAAGCTGACACCAGAACAGGTCATGGCAGTGATATACTCCCCCCTCCTTGTCGTCACCGCTATGCTCGAACAGCAAGAAGCCTGGGTCGTCAAAGAAAACCGTCGCCGCGGCGAAGACGACGAAGACACTACTATGGAGTGGGAACAAGTCCTTGACGGCTGTGACTTTGAAGCTGATGGCTGGGATAAGAAGGTTCAGGCCTCGCGTCCTAATGTCGAGTTCGACACTGCCGTCTTGGAAGTCCGACAACTAAGGAAAGAAGTCAAGGAGTTGAAGGACATGATGAAGATGCTTGTCGAGGGCAAGAAGGAAGGCTGGGGTGGTGACACACTTGGTCAGAGCGGATTGGCGCAATTAGACGCGGGAAAGTTGGGCATGCAGGGTGAAAGCAGCGAAAACGGGGGAAGGGATGAGTAAGTGCGTTTCTTTGGCAGATGTGCTTTTGTTATTGATTTGTTGTCGGTGCTGGTGTGTTGACTTTTGGGTTGTAGGCGCTACAGGAGCGAGTTTGGAGAGAGTAATGCGAGCGATTGGCATTCGGATTGAGCATGCTCCTCTCTCCTTCGTTCCTCTTCTTCGGTTAAATATTACGGAATACTACGCGATACGATATACGACACGATTTTAAGCGATGCGATACAATGCTTTCGCCATATACCCCTCCTTTACGACGGAATGATGTATGTACGTTTCTAGACGGAAACGCAAAAATATTAAGCGATTTGTTTCTACGTGCTGCATTGTTCTGGATTGTGGTCATTTGTTCGACGTTGCGACGTGTAACCGGAATACGTTGCTTATCTTGTGGCGGTGCTGAGATGACGTGGCGGTCCACCAATTAGCGGCTACACGCCCCTTAATTCGGGGCACCATCTGCCACCTCCAGACCCGGCTCCCGTTTCCCAGTTCCAGGTCCTCTCCGTCTTTGGAATTATCGCTCGAAGATAGCCCGCCATGCCATATCGGCCGAATCCTTGCAGCCGTATAGCCGCAATACCAAGATGTCCGTCCTTCCTTCAAGTACAATGTTCATTTCTCTTTGCACTTTTACATGATCACTTCTGGATTACTTACCAGCATAACATTCATCCCCGTTCGGCGGCCTATGCTCCAAACGCTAATTGTACGAGAGCACGCAAAAGTACAAACATGCGCATTGCCCTCATCCACGGTCCTCTTTTTATTACCTCTCCCTTTCCTCTCATCAACTTGATCGATTCGCAAAACTCCAGATTCCTCTTTCCCACGAACTGAAAGAGAGCGAACATGTCTCTCTACACAGCCCCCCTTACTACGACCAAAGGGGAGGAGGCCAAGACCACACCCAAAAGACTCCTCCAGACTTTCCAAGAAGTACAGGCTTGGCAACACGACAACGAGTACCTCAGAAACCATTACCGGTCTACCACGGGGTCCTATCGAGAATGTCTGAAAAGCCTGTCATACCTACACAACCAGACCGGCAACATCTATACGCATCTCATTGGCGCAGTAGTGATACTCTCCTATGGTATCTACGCTTACAACAGCGTTAGTGCGCGATACGTTACCGCGGATATCAACGATCTCCTCGCGTTCGGTGTCTTCATAGGAAGTGCGGTTGCTTGCTTCGGGATCAGCGCTACGTTTCACATGTTTGGGAACCACTCTAGCGCCGTTTATCACACCTGGCTCCAACTCGATCTTTACGGCATATTCATCCTGATTGTTGGAACTGTGTACTCTGGGACATACTATGGATTCTACTGCGAGAGGCAGTATTGGATGTTGTATTCTGTCGGGATTACCACCATCGTCACGGGTGCCGCGACACTTTGTTCGATACCGCGATTTCGTACGCCGAAGTGGCGCTGGGCGAGAGCGACATTATTCTGTGCTATCGGTTGGTCAGGCGCGGTTCCTATGACGCATGCTGCGCAGTCATTTGGTATTGAACAGGCTGATAAGCAGATGGGGTGGTGGTTGATGATCTGCGAAGGATTGTGCTATATCACCGGTGCTTTCATCTATGCAGTGAGTATATGACAAAGAGGGTTTCTCATGACTTCAGTCACTAACGGACTATATAGATCCGCTTCCCTGAGAGATTTCGTCCCGGCCTCTTCGATATCTGGGGCTGCTCACATCAAATCTTCCATCTTTGTGCTGTTGGGGGTGCGGCTTGGCATCTAGTGGCTCTTCTCAAGGCTTTCGACTATAACCATGATCCTGCAACGAGGAGATGCTGAAGGTGGTGCGCCTTGAAGCGGTGGCAGAACATCAGCTTTGGGGTATGCGCAAAGGACCGATTGCATACACTCCAGGACTTCAAATCGCAAATCTCAAGTACTCGTGCTATTACGTCAAAGTCGCAGACATTACAACTCCATTCTCTCATCCAAACTCAAGGCTCGCCAGGTCATTTCCGCTACCCCCTTTGCCACGAAATAAATCGGGTTCTCAGCCAAGATATTTGCCTATAAGCGAAGTGGTGAATTACAATCTTCGTAGCTCGTCACACCTTACCATCACTAGCGCTATCGGGATGACCCATTAGAATGACAGTCACGCTCGGTAGCGGCCTGTCCTCCAATCGCTCGTTGTGATAATGATGCAGAGTCGGAGGACACTGTTTCGAACATCTCTTTCATCTGGCATCCAAGAGCTGTCCAGATGGAAGCGTGAATTCACCCGCATATCTGGCCACTACAGTTCTACCACTTTCTCCAGATTATCCAAGCGCAATAGGAAGGCTGTTTTCGTGTACTCGACCAGTAGCACAGCACATGTTGAGAATATTATCTGTCTTTCGGCTCGCATCTGATTACAGGATTGTAGTTTTTGCACAAGCTGTAGCCATGACCTGCCTATGCAGCAATCAGTTCTCGGGATGGCGCGCGAGGCCATCGGCAGGCTCTCGGAGATCTACATAACAAGCGGCGTCCAGTGCAACCTCTTGGTATGCACTAGGTAATGCTGAGAAGTGTACTGAAGCAGAGATACTAGCGCTTACACACGCTTCTGTAGACTCATACGTTGTCTCCTCGTGAGATATAACATCCTACATACAAGTAGCTAGTACGAAGAACAAGACCGACGCGAGTACGAGCGGCTTCACACTTAGTGTAGCAGCCAGGGATAACCGTTGTGATGTGGTAGTTGATCCAGCTACATAGGTAGGTAACTACCTAACAACATCGCAATGCATACAGATGGCGCAGTAGTCATCACAGTCTGAATTAGCGCATCGAGCCTCAATGTAACGGGAGGCTAGGTTTGTTCGATGTGTTACAAGTCATGGTGTTTTTGATCGAATGCCATAGCGTGTGTCACAGGAAAACAGCAAAGTTCATTTTACATCGCATTGCGTGAGGGAACAGCAGGCTAATTTCTCGTAAACATATGAGACAACATAACGCAAAGCATCGCGACAAGGCTCGACGTAATCGATACCACCTAAGTGACAAAGATGTGCTTCATCTGTTGGCCCGTTCTACCGCACTGACCATCACGCTAAAATTCACACATCGTCCATCCACCCATTGTCAGCATCGTCGGCATCGTCAGCTTACGTTCATGCGAGAACTTTGTCGACCAGCACTCTCATTTCCTCTTTGACACTGTTGCTGTTAACAGACCATCACCATTTCATAGTCGCATAATGATTTCTTACATGTTACGAAAGCGAAGGTTGCCTGGGTAAAGTGCTGAAGAGCACAGGTTGAACCTTCTGCGAAAGACTTAGCTAGGATGGGGGAAGCACGGCAACACCTTCGGATACATACATGCAGTACAGTGCATTTCGATCGTCGAAGTCCTTGGCTGGTTCCGACATAGGGTAGTGCTTCAGGTACTCGGTCACGTAGGGTTTTCCGATTTTGTGACGGGTAGGTCGCCACGGTGCTAGCTCATCTGCCAACGTACAGTTTTGATCAGCGCAACGCAGATAAGAGAAGAGGAAGTCACAGTACTTACACTCATGGTGGGCATATGAAGAGCATGCGTCAAATATCACCGGTCGATCCGTGGCAGAATCGACAGAAGTGTTCCCATCCCAAAGATCGCCATGCACCAGGCAGGGAATAATGCTTCTCCCTTCCGTTTCAAGCGGACGCAACAACTTCGGAATCACCTTATTCATGATAGCTTCGCGCAATTCCGTCATCTCATGCTCTTGACCCTGTGAGCTTTCCTCGAGCTCGAAGAAACGACGGATGCCTCGCGAAAAGCTTTCCTCCCAGGTATCACACTCAGTGGTATCCTGTGGCAGCCGTCCCTGGTATGTTGGAACCGGGAACCCAAACTTTCCAGATGGCGACACTCCGTTCTTGTGTAGTTTGGCGACCATCTCGGGAAAGTCGGAGGCATCAGGCACTTCATCCGTCATGTCATGGAAATCACACAGGAAGAAATACGTATCAGCTTCGTTCGCGTATTCTCCCCACCCGATTGGTCTCGGCGCAAGCTCAGGCAGAGCGCCATGGAGCGCCGACATTGAGTGGAATTCTCCGTACATCATGCCTCTCCCCGCGTCACCTTGCGATACCTTTTGAGCTTCCATTAGAGGTATACTCTCTTGGACCTAGAGAAACTCACCTTAAGGAAGTAGGACACAGCTTCTCCATTCTGGTCGGTAGTTCGGATGTGCGCTGTTCGAGTCCAGTAGGATGCTCCGTGTGACGAGATGCTGTCGACGGTCGAACCCTTTGGGAGCTCTAGAGCTTTCGTCAGTACAGGTGAACGGTTGACTCAGCCGCTGCTGTGCACAAGGCTTGTGTTTTGTGGAGTCTATCGATAGTATGATATACTCACTCTCTTTAACGTTGGGATCGACGTAAGAGATCACCACTTTGGGCACGGCAACCTCCTCATTCCAGATCGAAGAGTCAGTCATTTCGAACTCTAGTTCGGCTGTAAAAGAAAAGAAGGAAAGTAAAAGTCAGGCAGACGACACAAGGCTTTCACCTAGTTATACGCAAAACAAGACGACTGTATCGGCACCCAATCGTAATCCAACAGATCATGGTACCATGTCGTGCGGCGCAGCTTAGGCGCCGTATGCATGCGCCCCGCGTATATGCAGTGTCTCAGCCTGATGGACACCTTTCGCGAACAGGCAATGGAGGCCTGCCGTGAAGCGATTATTCCTATACCAAAAGACAAGTGCTTTTACAAAAACTGCAACAGTCGCTTTGGCTAAAGCAAATGAACGCAGTACGGTGTAGTTAGTGACTGGAGGAGCTTGTGGTGAAAGCCATCGCGCTTATCGCTTTGTGTCATTGGCTGCAGGCATGACCGCAGCGATGGCTTTCTATCCGAGGAGCGACCTTCCCCTCTTTAACCGAGCATCCCGCCCCGAGTGTTCCGTTCATGGATCGAGATACCAGGCTGCCGCTGCCGCTGACGTGGAGACTTAGTCGGGCTCTGCCATAGGCGGCCCTTTGGTCAGGTGTAACATTCTTTACGTCTGAATGAAGCCTCTTACACCGTATACACGACCCTCAATGTTTGCTTAACATATGTCGAAAGCACTCTATCGCTTCCTGAAATTCAGGTCCTATCATCAGGATATTCGAGCCACGTCTGGCGGGGTAGTCGCACCGCATTACGATGCAGTCATCACATAAACGTGGATCGGTAGCCTCAGCAGCATCCAACGGGTCATTCTTTTCACGGAGCTTCACGAGAAAGGAGACGGGTCGCATCGATGATGGCACGGCGGAATTTCCCAAGGGCGCTATTGGTTTGACTACCTTACACGATCCTGAGCAAGATGTTGTTGCGGATGTTATTTTTGTTCATGGACTTAACGGCGGCTCGGAAAGTACTTGGACGAAGAATGGTAACTCATCGCTCTTTTGGCCTTCTGCCTGGCTACCAAACGATGAGGCCTTCAAAGATGTCAGAATCCATACCTTTGGGTATGCGTCTGGTCTGAGTAGAGAGTCGGTTCTTCACGTTCCAGATTTTGCGCGATCTTTGCTAGCCTCGATCCATGACTCTCCACGCATACCATCTGGCAACCACGTATGTATTATCTCCCTAAGCGCGAACTTTGCTGATTGCGTAAGGTACCGATGATCTTGATCGGACACAGTATGGGTGGACTGGTTGTCAAGAAGGCCTTCATACTTGGCCACCAGACAAAGGAGTTTGAGGATCTCGTGCGCAACATATTTGCCATCTTCTTCTTGGCGACACCGCACCAGGGCGCCGGAATAGCAGATACCCTTGGTAGGATACTTGCACTGGCCCCTGGCTCCAGGCCCTTTGTTCAAGATCTCTCTCCAGAATCTCCAGTGCTCCAATCCATCAACGAAGACTTTCCCCTCTATAGCAGCTCGCTGCGACTTTTTTCGTTCTATGAGAACGAGCCTATGAAGATCGGCATTGGGACTCAACTGATAGTCGAAAAACATTGTGCCGTCATGAATTACCCAAACGAGCGAAGAACGTACCTAAATGCAAATCATCGCAACGTTGCAAAGTTTTCGCTTCAGACCGATCCATCTTACCTGGCTGTTAGAAACGCGTTAGCAACTACAATTGCTACCAAACGAACGACTAAGGCGCTATTGACTGAGAAAGCGGGATTTGAGCAAATGGCAACGCTCGGAACTTTCCTGAGTATAACCGAGACCCCCGATGAGGAGCTAGAAAGCCAGTCGCTACGACTGTCTGAGACATGCGACTGGTTTCTTGAGAGGACTACATTCCAGGAATGGATAAGCGCAGCCAATTCGAAGACCTTGTGGGTACGTGGTCGACCTGGTGCTGGCAAGAGCGTTCTTTCGGCGCACGTTATCCATCACATCCAAGAGCTAGGTCTCGACTGCTCTTTTTACTTCTTTGTGCAAGGAGACAAGACGAAGGCCACGATTAATACATTCCTCCGATCAATGGCCTGGCAAATGGCGAACCAACATCCTCCTTTACTAAGTACTGTTCTTGAGATCGCAACGAGCTCGCAAACCCCAACGATAAACAAGACTGATCACGTGGCCGTATGGCGACGATTGTTTCTGAGCGGCATGCTAAAATGTCGTTTGGACAGACCACAGTACTGGGTAATCGACGCGGTGGATGAATGCAAAGGAGGGTCTGAGCTTATGACGCTATTAGCGAAGATGCAAGAGACTTGGCCAATCTGTCTCCTTGTAACATCCCGGGACTCATTCGACAAATATGCAGATGGTGCAATCCAGAGGACTGAGGTCGCATCAGAGACTATCGAAGAGGAAGACACCAACAGAGACATTGCTCAGTATCTACGTTCTTGTCAAGATCAATTGCCTGCGACAGGGGCGACGGAGCGCGAAGCGATGGCCCAAGAGATTCTCAAGAACTCAAATGGCTGCTTCCTCTGGGTAACTCTAGTTCTGAAAGAACTGCGCCAGGTCCATACATCTACCGAGATTCGCAAGGTTCTTTCGAGCAACACCGCCGATATGGATGAGATGTACGGTCGAATTCTGGGCGACATGGCGAGTGCTAAATTCGGAAAGGAGCTTGCAAAGGCCATCTTAATCTGGACTACCTTTGCTTTCCGATTTCTCTCGACAGATGAGATGCACTGTGCCATTGAACTTGATATCAATGATAACATCGACGACATCGAAAGATCCATTAGCACGTGCTGTGGCAATCTCGTATACGTAGATCGCAGCAAAAAGGTCCAATTACTCCATCTTACCGTTAGAGATTTTCTCACGCGCCAAGGCATGAGATCAGAGTTTCAGATTGAGCGAGCTACCGCACACAGACGTCTTGCATTAGTTTGTCTGCGCTACCTGACACGTATTCAAACACGTCCAACACAATCTCGGAAGCTCAGCGTGAACCAAGACCAGGAGAAGCCTCGGTTCATGGACTACGCAAGTGAGTATGTTTTCCAGCACATATTCCACGTGAGTTCCAAAGACAACGAAGTTCTGGTATTGTTGGGAAAATTCATGGGATCTGACTGCGTACTGAAATGGATCGAACATTTAGCCAGGAAGGGCGATCTTGAGAAGGTCTTCCAAGCAGGGAAGACTTTGAATAATCTCCTAGGAAGATTGGCGCAACACAGTCCACTAGTCGGGCTGAGGAAAGAGCTTACCGTCTTGCACAGTTGGGGCAACGACCTAACCCATCTGGTTACTAAATTTGGAAAAGAGCTTTCTTTCTCACCATCAGCGATACACCGCTTGATACCACCCTTTTGTCCAGTAGATTCAGCACCGAGCCGACAATTCTCGTCACCCCATCGAGGGCTGAGCGTCCTTGGACAAAGTTCTGAAGGTTGGCAAGACTGTCTTGCAATTCTCAATTACACAAAGCCTGCTCGACCGCTCACTGTAGCTACATCCCAAAGGTTCTTTGGTCTCGGGTTATCTACAGGCAAAGTCATGATATACGATGACGTTACTTGTCAAGAAGAAACTGTCTTGCAGCACGGAGAGCCAGTATGGGCTTTGACCTTCAGCGATACTGGAATGATATGCGCTTCGGCTGGGGCGAGATCTGTCAAAGTCTGGAACGTTACTGATTGGACTGAGATGTTCCGCTTCACTATTCCGGTCATGTGTCTCTCGCTTGCGTTCAGTGGAGAAGACATGCTTTTGTTTGCAGCTACCAAGAAGAATGAGCTGATGTGCTGGAATCTTGCCAACGGTGGCGTACAAGAGGATGTGGCTGACTGGACCATTGAGTTTGATGAGCAGTCTAGCTTGCAGTCGAAACAGCCTACACTAGCAGTGTTTTGTCCTCAGCAAAGCCTGCTAGCTGTTGTTTATCGCGGAGAGGACATAGTCCTGTGGGACTACGAGCGAGATCGTGTATTTGACCTCTACGACAAAGAGACAGGCTCAACTTTACATGGTCCGATGAAGGTCTCGGATGGCAGTACAACCGTGTGGAGCATCCAGTTCAGCACACTCAAAGATGAGACTTTACTTGCTGCTGCCTATTCCGATGGTGATCTTGTCATATATGACACGCTCCATGGAACAGTCCGAGACCTCATAGTAGGCGTCAACGCGCAGAAGCTGTCATGCTCGCCTGATGGGCGCACACTCGCGTGCGCGGATTCGCTTGGTACGATTCAACTTTTCGATATGGAAACAGTCAAACTTTTGTATCGACTGGAGTTTGAAGGCGACGCCATAGCACCTAGAACACTTGCATTCACTTCTGACAACCACCGAATCATTGATATACGAGCAAATCAATGTCGACTTTGGGATCCTGCTGTATTACTTCGGCAAGACATAGACGACGAGAATAGCGATACTATCTCAGTATCTACAGCACCGCACGAGGTCAGCTTTCGCGGATCCATGTCTACTCATATAACAACTCTCGAGTGTGTTCCTCTAGTACCTAGTGTCTTCTGCGGTAAAGAAGATGGGACGGTGCATGTTTACGACATCTCACGAGAACCCAAAAGTACTGAGTTATTTCAACAGTCTGTTGGCATTCCCATCATCATGCTTCATTTCAATGCTGAGAGCACAGTTCTGGCTTGCAGCGATGCGGCCAGCAGAGTAACGGTCAGAAATGTAAAGCGAAGCGGACGGAATAACTGGGCTGTAGCCACTCCAACTGTCGACATTGTAGTTGGGCGCGGGATCACGGGGTTGATGTCAAGTGCCAAGCACTCTCGATGTTTAGTCGCAACAGACGAAGAAGTAAATCTCTGGCTGACTTCATCGGATACTAGTCAGGATTCCTTGGTTACTCTGCGGCCTGACCACAAGGGCGAGTGGATACAACATGGGACTAACGCGGACGTTCTCATATATGTGTCCGCAACTTCTGCCCAGATGTTCTCCTGGACTACACTCGAGCTATTACACACCCTTTCGTTGAGTAGTATGACCGAGCCTTTCACAGCGATTGGTCGTACACGTTCGCTCCGCCACCCTCGTTATTTTGTCGGCGTTTCGGTGGATCCGTCGCATACACGATCGTCGCAAAACGTCATACGGATCTATGACTACAAGGACTTTAGCTCCGAAGCGAAGGATGTAGATCATGTACACGACCTCGGAACCTTGTCATCCGCTGTAAATACGATCATCGGCATGTTCAACGAGAGATTGGTCTTCCTAGACACAAACAACTGGGTGCGCTCCTCGGAAGTCAACACTGCAGACGCACAGCCCGTACGCCACTTCTTTATTCCGAATGACTGGGTGAGCCTTGTACGAGGCTTAGTGGTGGACGTCGGTCACAACGGCGAAATCATATTCGTCAAGCGGGGAGAGCTGTTAGTCATCAAACGTGGACTGGACATGACAGATCAAGGTGTACTTACGCCAAGAAAGAGAAGTATGAGTCCTAGAAGCGCCATGTTCGGAGGACTCGCGCATCGCACAATTAGTCAATGAGGTCAACCGTCATCTTGCTTATCCAAATCTCAGCATGGGACTAGAGAAGGTGATGCGATGATACATTACTGTACCAGAAATGGAGGCAGCGTACTTGACGTTTTATGGACGAACATCCATCTCTAGTGTAAAAGATCAGTATTCCTTCTCGGCTTACACTACCGTGTCGCTAAAGATCTTGGACACGGTATTTTCCGTACAATTGTATTTATAGAAGCTTGTCTTCCCCACATTCTACATTCTTTTTCAAGAATGCACTAGTCACAAACTGTTCTCGCCAGCCTCCATTTCCAGCCCCATTTTTGCAGCAACCCAACAGCGATGATACTAAGAACACCATCAACCAGTCCAATCGACGTGAACATCCATCCGTTCCCAATGGCATTTTTAAGGGGTTCAAGTATTGCCACAGCGACAGCGGAGAGTGCACACCTCGTGATGTTGTTGGAAGCCGCGGCAGTGCCGGCCTTTGATGGGAAGATATCGACCACTAATGTACTGAATAGTTGCAGGACAATGGTACATCTAGCTCCGATGAAGAACTGGAGGATCAGCGGTACACTTGCGTGGATTCGACGCTCGACAGCCCAACCATAACCAATAAGCCCGCCTATTGACAATGCGTGCAGTATGTATGAGCCACTGGAACGAGCGGCCTCGATAGGAAAATTGGTAAGGTCGTCGCCAGACTCTCGATCTATTGGCAGATCATACTTCTCCGCGGTCCTTTTATAATTGAAGTCCAAAAGGCGCCCTGCAATGAAGCCGCCAAGTATAACTCCAGCACCGCCAGACAAAAAACAAAGGCTGACAGCCAATGGATTATAACCATACTGCTGGCTGTATATGAGGGGTATCGAAGCCTGAACGCAGTACCATACAGCGTAAGGAGAAGCGGCCGACCAGAGTATGAGAGCTGTATCAGCATAGAAAATCAGGCGCACGGAGGAGAATGGGTTCGGAAAGCTCCACACACCCGCTCCGTTCTTCCCAGCATTGACATCGCTCGCAAGTTCCGCGGTGTTTATCTTTTCAGGACAGTCCAAGCTAGAAGGCTTTAGAAGTGACCACCACGTCTTCCAGATACCTTGGGCTTGAACCGCCCCGTTACCTACGATATTCCTCGCAGTCTCAGGCATAGTCCACCCAATCATCATAATTGATGTTGCGCCAAAGATGACGAGCGTCCAAAAGCACCACTGCGTTTTTCCTGTGGCCAAAACAACGCCTCCACCTAATACTGGTCCGAAACATGGTCCAAAATTCGTAGAAGCAAGCATCGGCCCAAGAACCTTGCCTCGCTCCGCAGGGATAGAGATGTCTGCGACAACGGCGTACGCGAGTGACATAACAGCTGAACCGCCGATACTTTGTAATGATCGCAGTATTATTAAAGCGGCATAGTTGTGCTTGTTGAGTGCCAAACCAAGACTTGCTGTACAATAGACGAAGAACGTGATCAGAAATACTGGACGGCGGCCCAGGGTGTCGGACATGGGACCGAAGAAAGCTGGAGATATCGCTTGGAACACTAAATAAAGTGTGATCGTCAGATCGATATCGAAGATAGACGCATTGTATTGTCTGCTTAGATTCTCGATCAGCGGAAGGTAGATGGTGGCCGTCAGAGAAGATGCGAGTGTCAAATAGCCTAGAAGGTAGGTGAAGTAGATATGCTGACGGCGATCGAACACGGTGAAAACCTGGGCTGGCCGATCGGGGTTGTGATTGCTTCTTGCAATCTTTTCATTCGACATCGTTTTGTGGCTCGAAGTGTAGAGCAGATATAACCGCGCTTTTCGTGCAAGGAGCGCTGTTGTTGAATGTGCGGGGGTTAATCAGCCTGCCACCCCACGGATGACGTCTTGTAGCTTTGCGCACAACTGTGCCACAATCACAGCCTGCTCGTGGTGCGGGGTAGACACAGATTTGCTTCGGTTGGATATAAACCGAGTAAATACAAGCAGATAGAAGATGTGAACACCCTTGCCGCTCTTGTACATTGCGATACTTGGCCAATAAGTCGACAGCATCTGGACACAAATCATGCGGGTTACATTCGTACGCGTGCGTTTCCTCTCAAATCGATAGACAATGACGGAAGATTGTGAAGGTACTCAAAAGCCATTAAACAGCCCAAGTCTTCGCGATTTCGCGTTAGCCGAACCGTGGATGGGTCATGACCAGTGCGATGTTTCAGCAAGTTTGTGGTGAACCGCTTTTGTTCACTTTAACCCGACCTTAAGCTCTACAAATGGCCAGTCCAAAGGATCATCTGCCAGGTCCCATCTCCGATGATGCCATCAGCCAGCTTCTCCTCTCGATAGGCCTACCTGAGGCCGTCAGTATCACTTCACCAAAAGTCACCGCCGAGTACCACACCATCTACATGATAACCATACCTCAGAACGCGAAGACCTTGCACAAAAAGCTGGTACTTCGCGCCTCTGGACAGCATCTTCCCAGGATCAAAACAGAAAACGAAGTCGCTGTCATGACCTGGGTCAAACAAAACACGAACATACCAATACCAGATCTTGTGGCTTACGATAGCAGTACTATCAATGCTATAGACAACGAGTACACACTTATATCCTTGGTTGAAGGCACCACACTGAGCGGAAAGCACCAATTCCCGACAGAGATCCAAAAGAATCTGATCTTGGACCAATTGGCTGACTACCTGAATCAGTTGCATGTCCATCCATGGGATGCTATCGGTGGTCTCCGTATCAATGAGGCTGGAGCTGTCGTCGTGGATCGAACAGTAGACGAAACCTTCTGGCAAGCCCCCGAAGTGAAGAAGCTGTGGCCGGCGGGAGAATCAGTCGACAGTCTGAACATTGGCGGACCATACTCTACATATGTGGATTTAGTGTCCGCGCAAATCAAGACATACATCCACCTGATAAACATCCACGAAAGCCTTACCTTCATGCGCGATGCGATCCCTCGCCTCGAGGCCTTCGTCAAGGCTCTGCCAGAGCACGCCGAACAACTAAATGACGTGAAATTGCGCCTCGCACACAAAGACCTGCATTTCGCGAACATACTTTACGACCCTGATTCCGGAAAGATCACCGCAATTCTAGACTGGGAGTTCTCTGGCGTCGTGCCATTCCCATCGTGGAACCCGCGTCGCTCTTTCCTCTGGAACGCGAGCGATGACGAAAGCTCTCTGGCGGCAAAGGAACAGCTTTTTAAGCTGTTCGAAGAGCGATGTAAGGATCGTGGTTTCCAGATGTTGGAAGATGCTCGGTACACCTCATCGCTGCAGGAGAGTATGCAGAAGGTCGTGGATTTTCTACGCGCAATCACGGAGGTTGCGCCAAGGGGTCAAAAGGAAGATTTTGTGAACGGCTGGAAGAAGATGGTTCTTCGCAACATCAAAAAGTTCGGGTGCTGATGGCATAATACTGCGTTCGGAAAACACGCGCCTAATCAGAAGAACAAGCAATGGGGTTCTTGATAACGTGATTTCTCACGTGTCATAACGCGCTGGGAGTTGCCGTCTCAATGCTTCTTCTTCTCGGGAAATGTAGCAGCTGCGACGCTGTGAAAGAACGAATCTAGACAGTGTAATCTAGTGCGACCGTATCGTCCGGAATCAAGTGCTCGCTTCAAAAGTAGAATGACTCCGTTCTGCGCATGACTTATCCTATCATTACACCATCTCTACACAGCTTTGCTTGTTCTGCAGCACCTTTCCAATGGAGATATGTATGTTTATAGTTGCCATCCCTAATATGCGATGTATATAAATGAAGCAGACTCATGTAGCGTAGAGTTGAGGGGTAAATTCTGTCGTTTCCTTTCGTAGCTGCCATAATACTGGCCTGTAGATTCTCAATCCAAGCATGAACCTGCGTGATATAGTCGTGTACTGCGAGATCGTGATTGGACGCTAGTGTATTGAATTATACCGATCAGCTTTTGGATAGGCAAATTTGTGGGCTCTGTAATTACCCAATTGCGTAAGTATCTTTCGAGTCAGCACAAGATATGGTGATCTCTCGATCAAAGTATCGAAGGCACGAGGCAGCAAAGGAATGTCGGCACCGCCAGAAAAAGAAGAACCCCTCACGAGATAAGCTGACGGAACGGTCTTTGTGAAACCGTATCACAGATTCATCCACCTAGCACTGATATATCGAGAGGCTCAGCAATAGAAGGAATTGGCAAAAAAAGACATACAACAGCGGGGATTCGCTAGTGGTCACCCACCTAACTACTAATCCGCCGGTACACTGCTTGTATATGGCTGAGCGGACGGGAAGCCTAATTTTCAGTGTCCTATGGTCGTATGTGAAAGATTTGTGGTCGTGTTGCGTAAATGCAGTCAGTGAACGCTGCTACCAATATTGGTCAAAAATCGATTTGCATTAAATGATTCTGCGCTTAGAACGCCAGATAGTATGTATGTATAGGGTATCGTATCAAATCGTGATCATGATGAAAGAAACTAAGAAGTTGAACTCGTGGTACTGCGAGCCGGTGAAAGGAAATTTGACGTAAGCGCTATCCGGTACTTCGGGATGCGGTCAGGCGTAGGGGTGGTCTTGACGCCATTCTGAGGTCGATCAGCGACCTCTGCCTTTGCGCTTTCCGGTGCGTCCTTGGTAGGTGTGCTCTCATCCTCTATTGTTGAATCCTTCCTGCGTTGATTCGGCGTAGGGGTGTCCGGCGTCAATGGTGGGCTGTCCTTGGAAGGTTGTGGTGTGATCCGCTCACCATTCGTCCAAGCCTCGGAGACAAGATTCAAGTTGGCTGGCGTGCTAGCCGTAGATGACGCAGCGACAAGGTCGTCGGAGGAGCGCTTGGTTTGTGAGAAGGATGGTGACGTTGTGATATGAGCATGGGAGAAGCCAAAACCTTCCATCTTGGCCGCCATTGCTTGGTTGTATTCTTGTAAATCATTCGTCTCGGTAGCCGTTGTGGAGGGGATACTGAAATCGTCATGCATCTCGGGAATGGTGCTTATCTGCGAGTTGCCATTCATGACGACTTGGTGCGACACTACCGGGCCTTTCCATTCAGGATGCGGTATTCGTCCGATGATGTTCAGCCTGCCCGTTCCTACTCTAGCCCATTCCCAGATACCTCGACGCGAGGGTGTCCTTTGTGGTGGTTGCACTGGTCCTCCTTCAAGCTCGCCGAGTGCTTCGTCTTCTATGTGGCTATTCTGGTGTGGGGGAGACGCGTCGTCTGAGCTTCGGCGGCGCTCTTCTAGGACTGGGCGTGACTTCTGTATCTCCGTTCCGCTGCTTTGAGCTCGCTCTAGGCGTCTGCGCTCCGGTGGCGTCACTTTGCGCAACTTCTCCCTGTCCTTCTCCCTCTCCCGAATCGCGTCGGGATTGGGCGGCTGACTGGCGACTGCCATCTCCGTCGACGTGACTACTGTCGAACTCGCCGGACTTGTCAGCCGACGGCGGAGAGGACCGGCGCTGCCTTCTTGTGGGCGAGCCGGTAGGGGACGAGACGGGTGAGGCGTCTTCGGGGGAGGAGGGCGGGGAGGGCGGTTCTGCTGGTCGGAGCTTATGTAAGGGACGGATTTGGCGGATGACAGGCCGGCTTTCTTCTTTACTGGTTAATGGATGTTATTATGCGTGTTGTGATTGTGACAGCAACGAGACGGCTGACATGGGATTGAAAATGGGCTGGGTGGAGATCAGAGTCACACACCTTGCTTCCCCTTGCCCTTGCCCTTTGTGTGGCAGTTGGGCCCAGCTTCGTGGTCATGGTAGTCGCACTCGTTGCCCTCATCTGTAGGGTCGTCAAATAGCATGCCACCAGTACCTGACCTGATTGCCTTGACCAAATCGATGGCGAAATCGGGGTTGTTCTCAAAGCATTCGCGGTAAGTCTCGACATCGCGCTCACTGCCAGGATCCATGATCTGGCGGGCTGCGATGCGCGTCATGAGCTTGCGGAACGGTGAGCCTGTCGGACTTTTGCGATAGATGTCGTCGATCTCGTCAGCGTCAGGTACCAGCTCGGCCTCATTTAGGCCTTTTCGATACTGATCCATGGCGACGTTCTTTAACTGAGCCATGTCGAAGCGATCGCAGAGGAGATAGAGTTTGTGGCAGCTCACAGCATACTCGTACTTTAGGTTGGCGTCAGCCATGTCGGAGACATCGTCGAGGCTGCCTTGGTACAGCCATTTCACCAGCAGCTCGAAGCCGGCGGGGCTGTGGTCGGGGAGATCGAGCTGGTCTTTTCTACTGTGGCCGTCTGCATCACCAAGCAGCTCGTTCTCGAGGGTCTCGGAGTGGTGGCACAAGAGGTTGCGGTGTAGCGACCAGTGGCGCTTGGACTCGCCTACGTATATATCGATCATAGGGCCGGAGAGCAGTCTATCGCGTTGCAGCTTAGCTTTTGCCCGTACATGGAGGCGATGGGAATAGAGGCGGTGGGTCAGGGCCGGGCGCAACGCGATGCATCGCGAAGGTGCTTCGGGCCTTTGCGCCAGGTCGAATTGCGGTGCATCGGCAGACGGCGCATTCTTGGGCAGGTCGTCGTCGCCTTCCAAAGACGCCTGCGATGCACCTGCCCTCTTACCGTGGTCGAGGAAAGGATCGTCTACGTACTCAGCAAAAGTCGCGGCAGGCACGTCGCCAATGCTCCCAGAAGCCATCCGTGACCGTTTGGAACCCGGAATGGCAAAATCACGATTGTATGATCGCAACGTCTGCCACATGCAGCGCGGTGATGGCGCTCATGTATGCGCAACAACTTCTGTTGGGAATAGTACGTGTCGCGATGCGGTGAGGGCTGTGAGGTGTCTTTGGGTGAGGTGTACCGTGGAGACGGGCTGGAGTGGAGACGTCCATGGAGCATGCGAGGATGGCTGGGTGGCTTGCCGTGACGTCGTTGGCACGTCCGGGTTAGCTTCCGCTCTGCCTAGACCCGGCTCATCGTGATCGCTCCAGGACCTGCATTGCTACCGCGAGCAGCTACTTAACCATCAACCATCTACACCCTCTTATCAAATGTCTGCTCCGCGAGAACCCCATCGGTTGCATAGCGACAGTAGCGCCGACGGCTATTTCGCCTATCCAGACACCGCCGCACTGAGCATCTGCGGAGTCGCCTATTTACCATAGCTTCTCTTACCAAAGTAGGCTCGTTAGACAAGGGTTGCTCTCCTTACCTCAGAACCGTTGTTTCCAGCCACGGCAAAGTTCCAGCTAACACGGGCCTGTAATTTGACTCTTGTGTACATGATCAACAAACACTAGAAAGACCATTTATACAAATTGACCCATTGGTGGCTCTTGAAGCTTCGACTTGGGCACACCCTGGGCACACTGCCGATTTCCACTTCTCTCTTACTTTGCTTTCGCTTTGAAAATCTCTGGAAAAAGCCCTCTTTTTCTTTGCTCGCATCTCCTCAATTCCCACCAAACTCGCTTCTATAACATCATGCCACCCACACTCAAAGATCGCACGCGATTTGCAGCGATCGTCCAGTCCAGCTCCTCACGAAACACCCAACTCAAGCAAATGTGGAGAAAAGCAATGCTGTGCTGTGGAGATTCGTCGTCCAAGCGGCCTTCCGAAGGAATTTCTGGCAGGCGAAAGCTTGCGCTGTACATGTTGCCACGACCCTCTACCAGGAACTTCGTCACGGACTCGAAAGGATACCTTTCGAGATAGTTTCAAACACCTATGCTGGGGCCGGTCTGCAAGGATCAGTATCCTGGCCAATGGGAAAGCGACTCTATGCGCCAGGGCCAGCCTGAGTCTACGACCCCATTCCGCGGACGCCTCATACCGCTTCCCGTTCTACAGCTGCACTACAAGGCGACCGTAGAAAAAGCACGCAACATTGCTTTCTTTACTCCAGCTCACATCGAATCGCTCATATGACCAGTTCGCCGACTTTACATGACACATTTGGCTGTGAGCCCTTTGATCATTTCCTCCTGGTATGCCTGGTCGCACTCCACTCAAGCCAGCCAGGACGGCTGAAGCTCCCTAGTCGCGGCTGACGCGGGGCAACAGGAAAAATGGGACCCAGAGTCGACTCTACACCAAGACGAGCAAGAACGAAACATTGTCAGAGCATGGATTAGCCTCGGCCAACGTGGCCGCTATGTAGGATCTCCTCGTCCAACCATGGGGATACTTTGCAGGTCAAGCCACTGATGTGCACGTCAATCAGCCATACTTCGAGCGATGCAGGGAAGACGATATTTCTTTGCCCGATCACATCCCTTCAAACCTGTCAGTGTTTGAGAAGCGCAAGGCGACAGATCCAGACAATTGGGGTGTTGCTGGTGTTATCTGGATCCGGACATGGTACGGCAACGAAGCATCTCTGGACAACATTTCGGATAAAGAGATCGTCACGCGTGCGAGTGCCGACGAAGCATATACTCGGTTGTGGCGGAAAGCTTCATG